GAGCAAAGCAGGAAAGACCCGGGAAAGAGACCTTCAGCTGTGCTCCCAACCCAGCTGTGGTCATCTCCACTGCATTGGTGGTGGCTGTTCAAACCGAGTCCAGCCACGCTCTGGCTGTGCCTGTAACACAGATTGAGGCAAGCGAGTTCATCTCAGTGCCAGCAGACCATGGGGTCCTGGGCATTGTGCTGCTCAGCACTCAGAGGACCAATAAGCCATGGAGAATTGTGAATGGATGTCAGAAGGGAAGCAGCCAGCTGGGAGGGAAAGGCTTTTCCAGAGTGCAGGGACTGGATGTGGAGGAGAGCTTTCTGAATGTGCAGGCAAGCTGCAGTAAAGGCTGACATGAACTTCAGTGGCAGTGCTCAAGGCCAGGTTGGATGGGGCTCAGAGCAAGCTGCTCTAGTGGAAGGTGTCCCTCCAGCAGTTGGAGCTGGAGGAGCTTTAAGGTCCCTTCAACCCAAACCAGGCTGGGATTCTGTGATTCAGAGAGAGAAATGAGTGGCAGAAATCTCTTCCCTGTGGTGCTTTGTGCAGGTCTGGGGGCAGCAGGCCAGCAGGAGCAGTGGGAAATCCTTACTGTCTCTTCTCCAACAAGGAGCTTTGCCCCCCAGGCCTGGTCCTTCCATTCCTCAGGAGCTGGCTGTTCTTAGGAGGCACCAACTCTCTGGTTTCTAGGGCACAAAGCTCTTGGAGCCTGCTGGAGCACATCAAGCATCACATGCTGCCTGCAGGGCTGCTCCCAGCAGTGACTCAGCACCCCTGCCCACCTGAGGATGATGGAAAACATTCCCAGAAAGGTCTCTGGTGCCTTTCAGGAGCCCAAGTTAGCTCTGTGTGTGGGGATCAGCGCTTCTCTGGCCATATGGTGCTGCATCTGCTGAATGGACATACCCACCACAGCTCTCTCTGCTCCCTGATAGCAGGGAAAGTGGTTGATGTCAGAGCTACATGGGATTGTTATCCACCTGAGGGGCCCTGTGACTTCCTCCATTATGCTTTATGGATGTCACATTACCCTTCTTCTTCTTTTGCAGGGTATGCCTGTTTATTTCAGGGTGTTTCTGTGGCTGTGGTGGCAAAGGGGGCTCTGGGCTGTAGCAGAGGGTGCATGGGAGAACAGGGCTGGCAGAGTGCCTGGCTCTTGGAGCATCCAAACCAGTTTCTTCAGGCACCAATGTTAAGTTGAAAGAAACAGAATATGTTCCTGGTGGGACAATTTGGGCCCCTAGGAGGGACGGCAGCTGTGTGTGTCCAGCAGGGGCTGTGCTCCCTCCATGTCCCTTGCTTTCAGGGTAGGGATATGCTTGTCCATCCTCTCGGCATGTTACCCTTCAAACACATGAGACTATTTCCCATCTTGCAGGGATTAAGTGTCCTTATTTGAAGGGCGTACTGGGTATGAATGGAACACTTTATCCTTTTGAATAGGCCCTGAGTACTCACAGAGAAAAGCAGGATGGGAGAAACGCTCCGGGTTAACCTGACGGTGTGAAAGTGGACACTCCTGCCTTAGCATTTGCAGCTTTCCTCTGTATGCAGTTCCCATTCATAGAAGCTCTCTGGTCTTATTTCCAGACAACACCACATCTGATGGTTATCCTTGAGCAGGTTTTTCTCCCAGCCTGTATCTCTTAGGCAGAATGCTTTAATTTAGAACTTGTAGTGTTGGTGAATCCCCCACAATCCTTGGTAAATTAGTTCCAAATCTCTGTGTTAAGACTTCCGTGTCCTATTGCTCGTTTCAGTGCAGCACCGCTTTGTATCTTGTTAGATCTTCACTGGCTTGAAGAGCTCTGGGCTATCGGATTCCTGCTCCCTGAGCAGGCAACTACAGATAATGATCAAGTCACTCTTGACCTTCTCCCTGATAAACGAAGCAGAGTGAGAATCCGCAACCCATGCTCCTGATTCCCTCCTGCACCTTTTCCAGTCTATTAGTGCCCTCCTGGTGTGGGACATGCTATTCCAGCAGCAGCACCACCAGTGCTGAACTCAGAGGCACAGGCTCTTTCCTTGGGTTGGATAATTTGGAGCAGTTATTTGCCTCCTGATACACGGAAATCATTCTGAACTAGTCACCTGCCCCAAGTTCTCTTAATATGTGGCTCTCAGGAATGATGCTCCCTCCTCCCCATGATAAACCTGGTCTGAATTATCAGTTCCTAGCTTTCACATTCAGACATTTCTATAGGGTCATGACCAAGTTTCCACTGCTGTGTTTTAGCCACCCTTTCTGGTCTGCGTGCTGGCTGTGTGCCTTGCCAAGGATGATGTTACCCTCTTCTAGGTTAAGGCAGCCTCATTTTGAACCCTCAACAAAAATCCCTGCTGTGTGGTGCTTTTTGTGCACATTTACGTTTGAGACCTCACTCAGGAGACAGGCTTATCTGTTTGGAGTACATTATGTTCATTCTGTATTCATTTCAGATATGTGGAGCAACCGTGGCTCCAAGGCATCTTCTGATAATGCTGTGGGACGTGAAGGAATAACCTGAGGCCTGTCCTGCTCCAGCATGCATCTTCTGCTCTGTGCCCTGACTATTGTCCCACGTGTCCACCAAGGGGGAAAAGTCATTTGGGAGCATGAGGCGATGGGAAGCAGGGGTGTTTGATCATCCAGTCTCTGCCTGAACATGTGGCTCTGCCTCCAAACAAACAAGTGAGAGAAAACCTCATAAGGAAAGATTCAAATGTGTGCTGGGCTGAGCCTAGGGAGGGCTCCTGCCCCAGCTCTGCTCCTCTCATGCTCACTGTGAAAAGCAGATCAGGCCATCAGGTGACAAATAAAGGTCACAAGTGCAATCTTGCCCTCTCTGAGCAACAAATTCCACTGGTTTTGTTCTGATTTAAAGGATGCCCTTGGGATCTGCCTTTGGCTTCAAGCCTAGCAGCCAATTTTACAAGGAGATTAAAGAATTGTAATAGAAAAAAATCCAAACATCCCTGCTTCTCCCTTCTGAAAACAGCAGGAAATCCCTCCTCTTTCTTACAAGCACTTAACCCAGACACATCTGCTGAGCAGGATTCATGCAGAAGGTGAATGCCATCGTGCTGACTTGCTCTTGGCCTTGATCACAGCCCTGATCCCCAGTCACACTGGTTGCAAGTTGTCACATCTGATGTACCGAGTTTCTTAGGACTTGACGCTGCTTTTGCATCACCTAGAGGTGATCAGCTGGGATGCCAAAGATGTTTAAAGGGTGCACTGACCAGCCTCTATGTAAGTGATGACATTGCAGAGACCCACCTCTTTGGCCACTGCCTGACATTGCCTTGATTTGATCTGATCTGATCTAAGGACAAGTCCTGTTCTTTCACCCCAAATGTGAGTTATGCAGCTGAGATGCTCTATGCAAACTGCTCATTCTGCAGCGCTTCCTGGGGTGCCTGGTGCCCAGGGCTCAATGTGGACCTGTTCAGGGGTAATTGCTTCATTATTGCTTCATGTTGGCCATCCCTGAGTTTTAATCGCTTGGCTTTCCTTGTGATTTGATCCTGAGGCTGTTTGGACTCCTGCTCCTTTGGGAAATGCAGGAAGGCAGGGTCCTTGATGACCAGAGCTCTGACCCTGAGGTTGCCAAAACATATATGCACTTACCCAAAGGAGCTGCAGACAGCACTGTCAGAGAGGCACTGAAGTGGGTTTCCTTGGCTAGCCTGGAGCCTGACAGACTTCCCTCAGCAAATGCCAAGAGATCAGCCTCTATCCAGTGACTGGATTTCATAGAATTATAGAATCAGGGTTTGGGTTGAAGGGACCTTAAAGCTCACCTGGTCCCAACCCCTGCCACAGGCAGGGACCCCTTCCACTACAGCAGCTTGCTCCAAGCCCCTGTGTCCAACCTGGCTTTGAACACTGCCAGGGATGGGGCAGCCACAGCTTCTCTGGGCACCCTGTGCCAGCGCCTCAGCACCCTCACATGAACTCTTCACCATCTCTTCATGATGAGGGTCGGCCTCTATGTGAGAGCAAAGCCAGCCCTGCCTAGGGCTGACCCTTTAGGCAGGAGGTGGAGGATGAGGAGTCGGCGCTGTGTGAGATGAGCCTTCACTGCAGGAAGTTCTGGAGAAGTTTGAAGCTTTTTTTGTGGGAGGAGGAGGGTTTCAGGGAAGTGTCAAGAGAACATGAGATCATTTCATTGCGCTTATTTATACACCAAACCCGGCATCTGCTGCGCCCGAGCTTGCTGCAGTCCTCAGCATTAAACATTTCATTAGCCCACAGCCCCTCTGGCAGCGCTCACACCCGCACACAGGCTGTTTACAGCCAATCCATCCATTTAATTCCTCATTAAACTTTGGATGTAATGAATTTTTTAGTGGTCAGATCTGAATAAAGCAGTTAAAATAACAAACGGCTGGGTAGCAAAGGTTTGCCCTTCACTATTTTCAGCTTCTAACGATGCTGTGGTGGAGCCAAGCAGTGCCTGTGCTTGTTTGCTGGGTGAGCAGGTCCCTTCTGGGGGAGGTTCTTTGGAAATACCATCCTTCCAGCATGAGATGGAGTCTTTGATCCGTGGAGGGGAAGCCAGGGAATAGTCAGAGAAGTCAGTCCCATCAACAAGCATTATGTGGAGGAAAATGTTTGGAATCTTTAAAGGGGCAGCTTCCCCTTTTCCAGGTGCTTACACTGACATCGTTAAAGGTGCTTACACTGACATCAACTACCCACCATCTACCTTCAGTAGAGCTGCCAGATCTTCAGATGATAACAGCTGCTACCATTGTAATTAGCTGAAAAACAGTGTTTATGAGTGTCCCAGACACGAGTGGTTTATGTCTGTGCAAGGAAACCAGCGGGAGCCTGCTGGATTTCCTGGTGCTGCTTCTGTACATCTGGGGTGATTGTGCATTTGGACACAGCATCTTGAGCGGGATGTGCCACTGCTGGCTTTCAGCTTGCAAAGGCCACGGCAGGAATGAGGGACTCTGCAGTGTGACCTCTGTCATGGCCATACCTTTGCTTTTGGCAGGAAATTCTCCAGGAGCTGAGTGATCTGCACATCTGGAATTGAGCCTGGAAGCTGCTCTGCCCTTCCTCGAGGAGGACACCAGAGAAAACAGCTTTGCACATTGCCCAGCAGCACTGTGGCCATGAGCTGTTCTCCTCCTGTGATGCACAGCATGACCCAGTCTGGATGCTCTGCCAGCAATGTTGTGGTGAGTTTGGGGTCCAGGTCCATACCAGGTCCAGACATCTCCATGCAGGTGTCTAAGTGTGGGTGGCTCCATGTGAGGTGTGTCTGAGTCCCACCATGCTCAGTGAGATCTGGAGGCCAATTCAGAGCATGTTATATGGCTCTTATTGACTCTTGCTCTCCAGTATCTGGAGGTCCTTCTCCAGGTCCTTCCTACAAGGCCTGTGGTACTAGATGCTGATCTGATTCTCATCCCTGTCTAGAACTGGAGATCGCAATCTACAGCTGGCTTTGGACGGCATGGTGAGATCGAGCCTAAAGAAGCCAAAAGCAAAGAAGCAGCAGAAGGAAGGAGAGACCTTGGGAAAGACCCAGACACACATGCAAGTGAACATTAAAGGTGAGGAGGAGATGCTGAGAGATGGAGAAGATTGGAACATCAGAGCACATGTGGAGGTGGGAGGTGGAAATCTGCAGGAGTCAGGCTGAAGGAGGAACCACCTTGCATAGGTGGAATGGAAGCAGAGGGTGTTTATGAGAGCAAATGAGGTACAGAGAAGACCTCTGAGTGTCTCTCCCTTTTGTTGTATTTTGACAGCTTCTCTTTATATTTGCCTTTGAGTATTTTGTGTTTTTTTTTTTTCTGAATAAGAACAGAGCCTGAAGTTGTACTACTGAGGAAGAGAAAAGTGTGTTAACAGGCTCCTAGCTTCAGGGTAGAGGCTGATGTCTAGTCAGCTGGGACAGGAAGAAATCAACCTGTCCTGATGCTATAGATTTGCACAATGCAATGTACATTAGACTTTAGGTCTTCAGGGTAATACCTGGTATGAATCATTTCTAGGAACTAAATTTGCCAGACCACTGGTTCCTTAGAAAGCCCTGAGTTATTGCATTTATTCCCACTTCTTAGCTGGTTTGTCTCCAGGAGCCAGGCCATACCCAGGCATAAGCAACATTCACCTCCCAGCAGGTGCATTGGTGCATGTGGTGCCTCGAAGGCAGTCTCCGAGCATCTCCGCAGGTGGCTGGGTGCCCGGATCATGGCTGCTCTCCAGCACTGCCAGTGTGAGCATTTCCAGAAGCACAGATCTCTGTCCCTGTGAGTGCAGGGTCTAATAAATAAATCAACAGAGATATATGCAAGGAATGAATTACCCAGCAGCTCCACATGAGCTGCACTTGATGCAGGGAAGAACCTCACCTGCTCGGGCTCAGCCAGCCCAGGGCTGCCTCCATGGGAGTAAAAGCATGTTCCTGCATCAATTGCTGAGCCCAGGAAGGCTAAGCATGGAGAAGACAGAAAACATCAAAAGGACACTTTGGCACATACTTAACATTTGATGTATTTTGCGTAAAATAGCAAAAAGGAGGATTTTAAAATATTCATCTCTTGGGAAGGCAACCAGGAGGATAAAAGGCTCACGATCTGCAGGGAAAGGGGGAGGAGATGGGGGCTGATGTACCTCGTCTTTCACTGGCAAAGGAGATGTTAGTAGGTGGCTCCTGAGAGCACCTGGGGTGTCCTGCAGGTGCTGAGGGTGAGAGGAGATGGGAAAGAGCCCTCAAGCTCTCTCTGCCAAAGCCAGGTACATCTGGTAACTGCAGGCAGCACTACCTGAGAGGCAGCCATGCCACCTCCCAGAATCACATCACAAGTCTTATTGTAGGTGATATTATTGTCAAGGTGCCAGCACCTGGAATCCTGATACAAAGTAGAGTTCTTAGGTTTTATTTTGCAGAGGAACCACTTAAGCCCCTGGCCTTGGAGAGGTTTGGAATCATTATCTCAGCATAACCCAAAGGTTTGGGCACTGGGGGATAAACCAGGCAGATTTGGGGGTTGGTTTGTTTTATTTTTAGTTGTCTGTTGCTAAGTCGGGCCCAAAACTGGGGGCAGGGGAAGGACTGAATATCTGATTTATAGTATGTGGGCCAGTGATGCAGATACCCAGGGGCTGGAGGGACTGCATCATCGCTCCTCACTGAAAAAGCAAAATTGATGATAGGTACATGCGTGCTCATCCTCCATCAGCAGCCTAAATATCTGTATCTGTTCTCCCTCCATATGCAGCAACATCAGGCATATATGCGAGAAGGAAAATAACCTTTTCAGAAATCACAGATTCATCCTTTGATGCCACCATTCAGTATCAACCTTCAGTACCAGAGGGGAGACAGCCCCTGGACTGCACTGGAGGTGGAGGACCATGCACTGAGAAGCAGGGTGGGGAGGATGGGGGCAGTGTCTGGGCAGGGTGGCTGTGAGGCACCAGGGCAGCTAAAACAGCACCTCTGGTTGGTCAGAAGAATAAGATCTCATTTCCCAAAGCATTTCCATTCCCATTCTCTGTTTTGTTTTAGTGGAAACTGTAACACACAATTTCCTATTGGAGGTTCCTTGTTTTGACAAAAAATCCATTTTCCATTGAGCAGAGATTTAAACATTCCTGCCTGCTGTATGAGCAATGAAGAGCATCCATCACACCGGGGGGAGGGAGGAGTGGGTCATGGTAAGCAGCGACTGTCTCAGGTACTTGGGCTTGTGACAGTAAACATCTGCTTTGAGCTCCCTGGGCAGCAGAGAGCTGTTGTGAGGTGGGATGTGTCACCCCTCTTTTGTGTCCAGTCCTTTTCCTGAATGGTGGAGACACTTGGGGGTGGTTCATTCACCCAGGGGAGGTGCCCTGAGTGGGGCAGATGTGCTGGGACACTTACATCTCCTCTGATGGCTGGGGAAATCAGAGCTGCCTCATCAGATTCCAGTGTCTAGTGTCAGGACAGTGAAAGTGAAATAAGATGAATCCCTCCCCGTCGTGCCTACATGTATAAATGTCACCATTGGGTGCCATTCCTTCTTTGAGCAATAGTGTTTGCTTGGTTGGTTCGCTCCTTTATATGTTTTGCTTCTCTGGAGGAAGAGTGAATGGTCGTTTCCCCTGGAAAAGGGAAACTGCTGCTGTTCCGAGAGCAGCCAAGCCTGCAAGGCGGCAGGAAGAACATAAAGCAGCAGCGGGAGGAAGCTGGGCTGTTGGGATAAACAGGAACAGAACTCCCAGGGATGAAACTTCCAGGAATGGAACTACCCAGGACTGTGCAGAACCTGCTGCAGCTTCAGAAAGCTGCTGAATTGGCTGAAAGCAAGCCTGGAAGCAGGGACCCGCTCACAAGGGCTCTGGAGGCGGGGGAAAGCTGCTAATGAGCCTTTTCATGTCTGTGCTATCTGATCTAATTCTATTCTGACACTTTGATTTTTCTTTCTGTGTGAAAGCTAATGCGTTTTATAAATAATACCTGTCCTTGAACTGACTGATCACTGGGGAGCTCATTTTGGGGAGAAATGCTGAGCAGAAACACCTCAAAGTGGTGTCTAAATTGGGGTCCCATCACAAGCTCAAGCACTGCATCATGCATGAACTACTGCTGGTTTTCAGGATGTGAAGAGGAAAGGGTTGAGAACACATTTGTGAAGGCATGACAGACCTTCACATGGAAGGGGAGAAACCTTCTCACATGGAAGGTTAAAGGCCTTTTTGCCTCTTGTTTTTGGAGAGGAGCCTGCCTGGGGTGCAGCTTGGGATGTTCTTTGAGGCCCTATTAGGGTTAGGGGGTTAGGGTTAGGGGGTTAGGGTTAGGGGGTTGGGGTTAGGGTTAGGGTTAGTGGGTTAGGGTTAGGGGGTTAGGGTTAGAGTTAGGGATTAGGGTTAGAGGGTTAGGGTTAGGGGTTAGGGTTAGGTTTAGGGTTTAGGGTTAAGGTTAGGGAGTTAGGGTTAGGGATTAGTGTTAGGGGGTTAGGGTTATATTTAGAATTAGAGGTTATTGTTCGGGGTTTAATGGTAGGGTTAGTGGTTAGGGGGTTATGTTTAGGGTTATTGTTTTGGATTAGCAGTTTTGTGTTTGATTTATGGGTTAGGGTTAGGGGTTAGGGGTTAGTTTTAGGTTTAGGGGTAAGTTTAGTTTTTACTTTTAGGTTTAGTGTGAAGTTTTAGTGTTAGTGTTAGCGTTAGGGTTAGTCATTATGCCTAGGGTTAGGGTTAGGGTTACTGTTAGTATTATGGTTTAGTGTTAGGGTTAGTGTTAGTGTTTTGGGTTAGGCTTAGGCAAAGTTTTCTAACCCTGTGGAACTCTTTGAGGCTTTTAGACAAATATAGCATGTTGTTTAGAATCATCATTAATGAAATGGAGATGTAGATTAGCTCATATATGGGAGATACTGGTTGGAGGTTGAAAGCCACCCTGACTTGGCACTCCTGAGATTTGGCCCAGGACTTGCGTTCTCTTTCTGCAGTCAGATGGAACTGTGAAACTTTAATTTGCTGCCCTGTGGTTCTTGCAGCTTCTCAGCCCCCTGCTTGGCCTTTCCCTCCTCTCGATGGTCTGCTGGTTTGGGTGGTTTTTCCCCAGACTGTCCTCACATCTGTTTACTGGGGCCATTTACGTGTTGTTATTTCCTGCACATACCCCAGAGTTTTCACATGCATTCATCTTTTCTCTCTGGGGCTTCTCACTTCCTAGTTTGGATTTCCTGTAGAGCGCTGTCCTCTGCAACCCTGTTTCAGCCCATTCAGCCCATCAGTCTCTGCCTGTGTAAAGCTTCTTCCAGGCCTCACGTTTCCCCCATCTGTATGCTCTCTGAGCAGATGCCCTGATTTACTACCTCAGACCTCCCTTTTTAAATCACCACACACACAAGCTGCTCCTGTTCTCAGTTCTAGCTCCTCTGCTCCCTCACCTAGCCCTGCCTCAGAAGGTTTGTGCTTATTTGCATTATTTCCCTTTGTTTGGGTTTTGTTATTGAAGTTTTTCATGCTGGTGGAAGAGAAACAGCTCCAGCTCCCACTGGATTCCAATTCTGACCATAAAGGGATCCTGTACAGCTGCAAGATTGCCTGAACATATCAAGGTTTTTGGAGCTGAAGCCTGTGACAGCACCTCCTTTCCATGATTTTGTTAAATCTGTGGAGGGAAAGGCTCAGATCTGCTGCATCCTGAGTATGTGAAATGCTCGTCTTCCTCAGCTCCTGCCTGTCAAGATCCTTGTTTCAATCCCTGATCCTTCACTGAAGGGCAGTTCCCAGCTTCCCAGTTGGCTCTTCAGAAAGAGAAAGAAGAGGATAAACTGACAGGTTGCCAGAATTGCCTGCTGGGACCAGTAAATGTTCGCAATCCCTCTGAAGCTCCTGATGCCCCTGCTCCTTTGCTGCAATGGTAAGATTCTAATTCAGAAACGAGCTTTTAGAGCAAAGCCTCCGTTGCTGAATTTACTGTGCTTGAAGAGTCACTGTGGAGTGCTCCAGGGGAGCGCGTGAACTCACTTCCTTCTGGACAGCATTAAACTGTCAGAAGCATTTTAGGAGGGCTTTGTAAGTACTCCAGCTGCTGGCGGAGATTGAGCCCAAAGGACTGGGCTAAAGCTGCAGTGAAGTTATCTGAGTGTGTATTGTGTGAACGCTGGGTCTCCATCAACATCACTCACTGCAGGTGGGGGAACAGAGCTCAGGCTCTTCTGAACCCTCTCCAGAGCTGAGATCAAGGATGGGATAACAGTAATACAACAACACATTTGATAATGAGTGATAGGTATCCTGGTGACTTCCAGGTGTTACACTGAGATCCCAGTGGCCCAGGTCCACACCGGTCTCTGTTCTGTACTTCAAACAGATACATCACATTTTTCTGGCTGTAAAAATTTCTTATTTTTCCAATAAGAACTTTTCTGAGCACATCCTTTTGCCCCTTTATTACACAAGCTACTTTTTCAGCAGCAGTTTTAAATCCAGAAGTTTTGTATAGGTTGAAGTGTGTATTTTTGATCTTTTCAGATTCTTTTTTTAATGGAAATACCATGTTTTTTAGCTTGTGGGGTTTTCTCTTCCCCCCCTCCCTTTCCAGCTTGTTTTCTGATGACATGATATTTTCTTGATCAGCCTTTCCCAGACTGTTCATCTCCCTATTTCTTTGCATCCCTGGCAGTGTTCAAGGCCAGCTTGGATGGGGCTTGAAGCAAGCTGCTCTAGTGGAAGATGTCCTTGCCCATGGCAGGGCGTTTGAACTGGATGAACATTAAGGTCCCTCCCAACCCAAACCAGTCTGGGATTCTGTGTCTGTTTATCACTCCTTACCACTTTGACCACTGCCCCTGAAAACCTCTTTTTTAGCTGTTTTAGTGATTTAAAATTAATTTGGTGGATAGGACAGGATCTGAAAGACAGTCAGTTCTTGCTTGAAAAGCTGCAGCATGCACTTAATTATTACTCCTCTTTATCCTCTACCATCTATTAGAATTAGGTTGGGTTGCTGCATGCAGGTGGTTTTGGGGAGGGTTATGGCTATGGAGGGATTCAGAGATACTGTTAGAAGAGAAACACTTTGGCGGACATGGGGAAGACCCAATGATATCCAGCTAAAGAGGGATTAGAAGCTATCTATAAAAAGATGTTAGTGCTAATGTTCACTGAGCAGCCTTTTTCTACCTCTCCTTTGTGCAGAAAAGGGAATTTGGGGGCTCTATGTGAAATGTTGGCAAACTTTACGTCTCCTACATGGAAGGATCTAGAAACCAGCCCTGAGCAAAGCAATGTGGAGGAAAGGTTATTCCTATGTTTTTCATCAGCCACAATGAAAAGCCTGATTTGCTGTGATTGCTGCTGATGTGATTGCTTTGACATCTTTAGATTTGTTCACACTCTTAGTCCAAATATGTGCTATTTTAGAAATTGATACAATGCAGAATATAAAAAGCACAGATTCAACACTTGCACTAAATTCAATCAAAATTTTAAAGCAATCTCTACAGTAGTATTAAAATTACAGATATTAGCAATCAATTGATAAATTCACATCATAAACAGAATTTGCATTATGCATTTTCTCCTTATGCCTTCCATTTTCCATGCAAATAAGTAACTAACCCTTGTAACAAAATACTATTATTGCATAACAAATTCCATTTTTCTGTAAGGAGGTAAAAAGCTTCTGCACCAAAATTGGTCATTTTTTAAATGGCAAAAGCAATAAAATCACAGACACAGTGTCAAGCTGACTGCATTTCCATGGCAGAAATGGTTTTATCTCTTGGTCCTAGAAATGTCTCTTTCACAGAAGGAAATACCCCAACCCAAACAGCTGTAAGGAGCTGTTTTAACCTTGCACTACTCCCAGTTTCATACACTTCTCAAATCCAGGCTGATTTTAACTTGAACTCTACCCATGGATGCGCACTGAACAAATTAATTTCCATCCTAGGCTATTGTTAGTCAACGGTTTTGCTTCAAATACACTTAGAGGGGTTTTCCCCCAACTTGAACACTGGGGGCTACAGTAGTTGAGACAGAAATACATTCAAAAGGAAAGCTTCTGCTCCAGGTGCCTCTTTGGGAGCTGATGGGAGTTCTTGTGTTTAAGAAGAGACCATGAGCTCTTCAGTGCATGGGCATTGCAGTTGATGTGAGCAGAGAGCCTTCTCCTCCTCCTTGTGAAAGTGGGTGGATCAGAATTCAGGAGGTGACAAACTTCCCCGTGCCTGTTACAGACTAAAAAGCACCTAGGCATAGACTTCAGCCCTTGTCCCCCTCCAGGTCAGTGCAGTGAACTGGCTTAGTCACCCACCAAACCCTGCACACATCCAGGCCTCTGCTGCCCAGCTTCCGTCTCTCTGCCCTTCACCCCATGTTCTCAGCATGCATGGGCAGATGGAAAAGGGTCTGGGTTGAAGGGGGAGCTTGGATCTGCCTCAGGGCTGCAGAGAGGATGGGGCTTGGTCAGTCCCTTCCCCCCCAAGTTGGATCCTGGTCCCAGCATTGGCAAAGCAAAGCCAGACGTGTCTGGGATGCTGCAGCACCTGGCGCCTCTGCCTAGATCTCTTGCAGAGGATCACAGTGTCTGGGTGTGCTGCAGCAGTGATATGCCTCTGATGGGACTGGGGGCATCCCGAATGGCAAACGGATGACAGTAAGTGGCCTGATGAGGCACCTCCATCACGTATTTCTGTGCTTCTGGTAGATGCTATTTCCAGCTCCTCTTCACAACCCCTGATTCTCCTACAGGACCCTCAGCTTCTGCTCGATAGTCTTGGGCTCATCCTAAATCACATCCTTACTTCTTTCTGACCTGTTGTGTTGAACTGTGGCAAGGCTGGGTCTGTGCTAATCTGCCTGTTGGCTGCACTGAGCAGATCAGGGTTGGGCTGTCCCTGCCTTTCCCACAGAGAGGACACCAACGGCATTGATCTCTTCCTCAGCTGCAGGTTTTCATGACACCTCCTGCTCTGAGACCTCTCCCCTCTTCCCAAAGTGATGGGAGTTCACTTGTACAAAGGGGCTGGCAGACAGTTGGGCAGACAAGACAGTGTGATCCTGTGAGTCTTTGTTCTTCATGAAACCAGGCTAAAAATGAGCTTTTCTCAGTGCGAGCAAGTTCACATTCTTTCTAAGAGCCCTTTGATGATCAAACGTTTTCTTATTTTATGATGTTTTATATTCCCTTCCCAAAATAACAAATTTCCTAATGGAATCAGGCTATTATTTCAAACAGCTTCTGCCATGATCCCAGAGTGTTTCTTCTAAGTCTGGCTTCTTAAATCCGACCAAACTTTTTGTAGCACAAGGCAGGAGGGGCTCAGGATCCTCAGTGGCCCGGTCTCCCACAGACCCAAGAAGCTCGTAGCAATTACAGAATCTTTTAGTTTGAAGGCACACCTGGAGGTCATCCAGTCCAAGCCCCTGCTCAAGTAGAATCACCTAAGCAGGTTGCCCAGGACCATGTCCAGTTGGGTTTTGAATATCTACAAGCTGGGAGGCTCCACAACCTCTCTGGGCACTCCATGCTTGACCTCTATCACAGTAAAAGGTTTTTCCTTGTGTTCAAGTGGGGTTTCCCATGTTTTATTTTGTGCTCGTTGCCCCTTGTGCTGTCACTGAGCAGCACTGAGGAAAGTCTGGCTCCATATACCAGGTATTTATACTTATTGATAAGATCCCTCCTGAGCCTTCTCTTTTGCAGGCTGAACAGTCACGGCTCTTAGAGCCTCTTCTCACACAAAAGGTTTTCCAGTCCCTTAATCATCTTAATGACCCTTTGCTGGACTTGTTCCACCTCTTTGATTTAAAAACCAGAAAACAAAGGAAACTGCACAGTGAGTTTCTTCATCATTATTTGCTTTAATAAACCACCCCCAGTGGAAGACAAGGAAGCCTGTACCATGTGTTGCACTACTGTTCCTTGGGCATGTGTCACTGATGGAGACCACTGGGCTCTGCTGTTCAGCAGCTCCTGCCAAGAGCTCTGACAGTTGGCAGCTGTTTTACACTCTGGGTATCTCCTACCTTGTGCCTGGATGACTGCTGCTAAACTCAGGCAGCGTCCCCTAAAGGAGTGGTGGGAATTTTGGTGAACACAGGATGTAGCCTGGCATTAAACCCCCCCAGAGGACAAGGTTAGCTAACAATTACAATTACTTCTTTGTGAGCAAGTCAAGCAAAGGTTCACTTTCTGTCCAGAGAGACTAATTATAAAGTCAAGGCCAAAAGGGCAAAGCAACATTCATGGTGGAGAAAAATAATTGTTTGGGAAAAATCACCCACAATGCTCAGGACGTGGGTTTCCTAATGTCGGCTTCAGAGAGCTGAAGTTTAGCTTGCTGGTGACCAGGAAGGACATCCCTTCTGTGGGTCTGACCGTTTTGATCTCTTTTTAAGAGGAAGTTGATGTTTCTTGGAGGAGCACAGTATCTAATAAGAATCTAGAGGTTTAACCACTTAATTCTGTGGGACATGGAAGTGTAAAAGTAGTTCTTCAGCCTTGTCTTATTTGCCTATTTCTTCTGTTGGAAGACTTCATTGTAAAAAGCTCTGCTTGAGTTTCTCAGGATGCTGTTTCTCCCAGGCTTACACTGTTTCACATTTGGATTGGCTAGTACAGCTTGCATTAAGCAATAAGGCTTAAATGTGGGCCATTTGATTTCACTATGTAGGTGAAATCTAACAGCATCTAACTGGAGAGCCTTGCTGTTTATTTTAGTGGAATGAGGAGCAGATATTTTTCCTCACTGAATGTTCCTTTATTGTCTCTCTTTAATCTGTAACTTACAGGTTGATTTCCAGTGTGGGTTACATGAAAACATGAGGGTGAACCTGCAAAGCCTGGGGAGTGCTCCTCCAAGAGGCATGGGTGTGTTCATGCAGGCATAGAATCAAGGAGCTGCAGAGTATCTGGCATTGGGAAGGAACCACAGGATCAGCATCAAACCAAAGGGTAAGGGGGGGCAAAGCCATTTTGTTTTTTTGCTACAAGTCCTGACAATTTTGTGTAATAAATCCTTATTGAGAGCAGGAGCTGCCACTGTGCCCTTTGCTGTGTGCTGGCACCCTCCTGGGCTGCAGGAGTATTATCTTCATGCCAAGAGAGATAATTCAGCCCTGGGCAGGAGGACTTGGCTGTCTTCCCCATGATGGGGAAGGAGGGAGATCAGCCTGTGTGAATGCAGTGGTTCGCTGCTCTCACCTTGTGCCGTGACTTCCTTATCCTTAGATTACATCTGGTTGTTTCTTTATGTATCTGATGTTTTATGAAACCCTAAGGGCTACATCCTGCATGTGTGAGATGAGATGAAAGTCACATGGATGTGTCTGGGTTTCTGTGCTGTGGCTGGGAACAGGAGCAGAGCCCACTTACTGTTCAGCTTACCCATGCAGGCTTTTGGTTTCTGTTTTGCTCATAGGTGCACAGCCATCTGCCCCTCTACCACAGCGCTGTCTGCCATCTGTCCTAGGGAGATAAAATAACTGTAAACTCCAAATGCTCACAGGCTGCAGAGTTAACAGCTGAGATGTTCCTGAGCATGCTGAACAGGAGGCAGCACATTACTAATTTGCCTTAGGAGTCTTCACTGGGCGGCTGGTGTCTCACCCAAGCTATTTGGGCACAGTCGGCCAAAGTTTAACTAGTGGAACAAGCAGAGATGCTGCTTAGGGCTGTGCTTCATATGGCACAACGACTGCCTGCCTGAAGAGGTCTCTGCTGCCTGCAGGGATATGGCATGGGGGCTTCAATGAAAGGGAGCTCCTCCTCTGGGTGCTGCTGCTTTCTAGGAGGTTGTGCTCAGACAGCCAAGGTGGTGCGAGGGTAGCTGGTTTCTAACAAAGCAGGGTCCTACAGCACTGGTCTGGCCAGCGTTCTGCTAGGACGTGTAGGGAGGGTAACCATGGCCATCCACCGCCTGCAAAGGGGCTTCCTCTGGAGGGATGAAGCCTTGGAAGGAACTGCCCTTCCTCCTCTGCTCATCTTCCTCTTGAGGTCTTCCATCTCCTAGGTTCCTCTTTATCAGAGGTGAAACAAGATAAGCTCTTTTATTACTCAGACATCCACTCCCTGCAAGTCACCAGCCAACATGAAGGCAGGGAGCCTGGTGTGATGATTCACACGGTGCTATGCTTTTTTCCAGTCTTTCTTCCTTTCCTGCCTGTGGGTGAGGAGGCAGACAGGAGCAGAGGTATCCTGTCCTGTTCCCCCACACCACTTCAAGGTGGCAGAGGGCCTGTGTGCACCACAGCACTTTCAGAGAGATGAGAAACTATCCCTACAGGCCCTGTTTGCCTGCTGGGAATGCAGCAGAAGGTATATTTCCAATACAGATGATGGCTTTGTGGGCCTAAAGTGCTCAGGGCAAAGCTCCTTCTTGACAATTTTACTCTACAAAGGGCTTTTTCCACCTTGTTTCACTCCCAAGGCTTTTAATAGCTCTGGCCTTGATCTCTTCCCCAGCTCATGAATGACAGCTGCAGAAGAACTATAACATTTTAATTGACATTTGTGTTTAAAAGCTCAACTATAATTAGAGGCAAGTGAATCATCTGCAAGAAAGAACTAATTCAGGCTATGCTGCCTTTCTTCCTCTTCGGGAGTGTTCTATGGGCAGGTCGCTGCGCTCGCAGGTCTGTTCTTCACTGACACTTAATCCCGGATCTCCTTGTGTGCTGCCAGTGTGAGCAGCCAGCGGCAGGGCTGGGCTTTCCCACTGCACTGCTCAGTGGCACCCGCCACATGCTGCTGTTCTCATCCCTTGGCTGTACAGTGTGGATGTGATTATACCCAATACAGGAGTACGTGCTTTAAAGTGGGTGTGCTGAGCCAGAGAGCTGTGCTGGGCTGGTGCTGGAGTAGCAGGTGGGCTGGGCTGTTCTCTCTGGGCTGTTTGGACCACACTGGACCCCTCTGAAATCAAGGACCTTGTGACTGAACCATCTGCCTTACTCCTGCAGACAGGAGAAATGTGCTATCTTGCAGCTCTGTTCACAAGCATCTCCCCAGC